TGGCAGCTTCCTTGCACGCGTATACACTGGCGGGCCTGTTGTCTCAATATGGTGATAGACAGAATGCTCTGGCACTTCCTTAAAAATAGGTGGGCGCGTGATTTCCTTGAATTGCTCAAGTAATTCCGCGTACGGCCGGCTACTACTAATAGACTTCACCGCTCCTATCGAGTTTACACTCTTTGTTCCCAAACGTACAAATTAGTAACTAGGTCAACTAATCTATTATTATATAAATCTACTGACAATCTAAAATTTCTTAAAAAATCTGCCCCAATTATTGGTTGCTTAACATCGCACACTATGAACGGCCATTTTAAATCTCTCCTAAGACCAAAAGTTAGGTATTGTTAAATAACATATGCCGTATGTTTTTATCTCGCTATCATTAGCCGCGTATAATTTAAAATCGCAATGAATTAGTGTGCGTTGTTTAACACACCATTTCGGGATTACAGAAATATTAGCTCCTGTGTCTATCAGGAAAGTAAACTTAGATAAACTATCCCTAACTAACAAACGGTGATTACTAGATACCTGTCCCTGAGTACATCCGTCCACCGCCTGCGGATATACTGGTTCTAGTTTCCCGCGTCTTTACGCCAGGCACAAGGTTCTTCGCACCTCCTCGCGTTCTTCCTCCAGCGTTAGTGGAACCTGCAGAGCCACTCTGGATCCCCTGGAGTCCTTATATTACGCGACGCGGACCTGCTTCTGTAGCCTTGATGGCTGCGACCCCTGGGACGTCCTCGATCTTGTACCTCGCTGCGGAGTGCCGCAACTTCCAGCGTGAGCTTGTTCAATTGCTGCACGAGCCCCGTGAATATGTCTGATACAGCAGGCATCTGTGGTGCTGCTGATGATGCTCCGGCCATGGCTGCGATTACACCGTTGTTGTGCGCTTTCATCGTATACTTGCACGACAAATCTTTACATATTTTTGTGAGTCGCCCCGCCCTATTTAGATTATAACTTTAGCTCACATTGGATCACGTCGGGCCGCCCGCGAATCACGTCGGGGTCACCAGTTTAGTGTTTGAGGTACACCAAATGAAAACCATAACAGAATTCACTATCTTTATTGTCCTCTGACTTACATGGCGGTTATAGGGCGACTAACTGATCCACGTGCAAGTGGAATTACGAAATAATGATGCGTAGACAATATTACAAATACAATTGCGAAATTTCTATATAAACAATAATTACACCACTACAGGATCTTCCCGCGTGATCGGTAGTTTCAGAGCCGAGCCAATCGGCATGGTGGGCGTTAAAATCGCCAAGTATCACGATTTCAGCGGTAGGAACCTTTTCGAGCAGGGAATCTGTAGCCATTTGGATGTGCTCAATGAGTCGGTCAGTTTCGGTATTTCCGCTATGGGACCTATACAGGCATGCGTAGAATCGCGGATGGTCATCGCAGTCTACGCGCAGCCAGAGGTTAGATAGGTCCCTTCCTTCAAGCGTCCCGAGGCGACGAGAACAGATATCCTCTCTGACGTACACGCAAACTCCCGCCCGCGGCACAAATGAATATTCCAATTTGTACCCCGGGTAGGAGAGGTAGGAAGTATCAGCCGGGGAGGAAATCTGAGTTTTGGTAAGAAAGAGCAAGGCCAGCTTCGCAGTCTCTAAATGGTAGTGGACTGCGTTGATATTGGTATTGAGCCCCCTAACATTTGTGACGGGGGTGCCTTTGTAGAATTGCTCCGTTTGCCCCGAGAACGATTAATGATGTTTTTACCGAGCGCAGAATTGCCCCCCCCCCAATACGAAGGGCAGCCTGTGCGTCCACCACCGGGCGCATAGTGTCCCGGTGTTGGACGCCCAGAGGGGGATTCTCCACCGCGAGCGTGTGTGGTACCCCCCTGAGGTAGATTCTGTTTTTTTTCTGCACCTTCATATTTCTTGTAGAGGGGGGGAATGGGCTCCGGGAGCCTCTCTCTCACCGCACGAAACGCGAGTACAATAAGGCGAACTTATTGCATCACTTCACGCCGGTTTTCTGAGAGACAGTGGTACTGCCCCGGTCGTGCCTGCCCATTTGGCTGAAGCCCGAAGGCAACAGCATGGCACTCCCAGTAGGAAGGGGTTACCTTGCTGAGGAGAGAGCCGTTGTGCATACTGTTATATCTACTGCACTCACGTATCTACAGCCCCCTCGAACAGTGTTGAAGGAGGGTGAGTTGCCAGTATTTAAGATGTTCATGTGCCCTTCCTTATCAAGGAAACCTCGTAATTCCATTTCTCGTGTGTTTTCGGTTTAAGCGTTCACGTCATTACCATCTTGGTTTTTAGCTGTTTCGTGACACTTCTCAATTTTCGAGGTATGGCTCGATGGGTTCATCACCTTCGAAGTACACAGACACAACCCCTATTTCCCACTGATCCATTCTCAGGACGGCAGTTACTATGTTGTGTTGTGTATGTGTGGGCCTGGGTATCCGGAAGCTATATCCACGATGCTCCCTTCCCTCGGTAAAATAATATGCGCTGTTTCGGCTGTCACATGTCAGTATAATAAAAAAAAGGAATCCAACAATCGATCAGACTTATGCCTTGATCACACGTACCGAGCAAACCGGCGAGACAGTACTCTCGGTCGAGTACTCGGTACGTATAAACATAGCGCCGAGTGCTCGGCCGAGCGCTCTACTTCTCTACGATTTGGACTGCCCCATCAGTGTTAAATTTTTTCTCTTGCAAGAAGTTGTCCAAATTTCGAAAAAAATGGTAATATGTTGGAGCAGGGTCCGGGGAGTACGGAAGATGTCATAGACATTCGAATTGAAGCTCTTCTAATTTGGTAGCCGTCTGTTGTGCAGTGTGTGGTCTAGCGTTGTCGTGAAGTACCAGTGGCGTGGAGCGAGTAAAGAGAAAGCTTAAAGAGAGTAGTTTTCGGCCCAAATATCATGAAGAAATACCAGTTCACCATACATTTGGGAGATTTCTACTGTTGTTAAGGATTAAAATATCTATAACATTCTTAAAATATGTCCCCTAGGGATAATTTTATATGTTTTCTAATGAAAATTAATTAAAATTTCTAATAAGTAATTTTCTAAGGAATGAGTAACTTTGTATATTTTCTAATTATCTTTTTACGATCCATCTTGTCCAAATTGTAGTCTGAATAGAACTGAATGATTTCAAAATGTGTGTGAACAGCTACTCGCTTACTACGCTGTCTCGGCCGAGAAACATTTTACTGTCTCGCCGGTTTGCTCGGTACGTGTGATCAAGGCATAAGACTAGCACTTACCGTCAACGGTGGTGAGTCCCACTCCAAGCACTGGATCCTTAAAATGGTGAATAGAAATAAGTGTGCACGCGACGGCACTATTCACTCTGATATATATGATTTCACTCTGGTGAGGGGACACGACTGCTCATAGCTTGTCAGGAGTAGGGACGTTAGGTTATTAGCTTGCTTGTCTATATTATTAGTGCATCAATGGTTGTTTGTATCGTTAGTTTGTCTACTCCAGAGCTGAATCGGTTCTCTGAGGCGGCTCTTGGATGCGGTTTAGTTGGCTCCCCTTTGATTGCAAAGCAAACGTTTATGATCCGAGCATGATAATTGGCTGGACACGTGCCAGTCCTGTATGTGACCTGACAAGCCTGCTGGTACCATTGTTAGATCCTTTATAGCTTCTGAACATGCTTTACTAAATGTTAAGTTAAGTTAAATGTAAATGTTCTGAACCGCTGTTTGCTAATATAACATAATTATCATCTGGTCTGGAAAGACTCCACAATCTATACATTAATTAAATATTATAGCTAACTCTGAACTGATAGCATTGATAACTGATTGTAAATGAATACAGATACACCCCAAAGATTTGTAGTTTTTTTTTAATTTTTAGCTGTTTAAATGTTTTTATAATATCATTGCAGCTAATGCGAACCAGATTACAAAAAATAGACACAAGTTCACAGGTTATAAACCAGTGTTCTGTAATACACAATATGTCCACTTTCACAGGTCAAAAGGAACTCAATTTCCAGTAGTTTACTTTTCATTCCTTTTGGTGAACAAGATATAATTTTGTTTTTAAATTTACTTATCTTACTAATTTTAAACCAGAGAGACTCTGTTGTGTAAGTGTCTAATTTAAATTTGAAATAATATTTCTTGGAATATTTTCCAAGGTGTTACTAAAACCTGCTCAATAGAAGCAGGTTGTCTAGCCAAATTATTGGCTGGTATATACAATAAGTATGATAGCGAATCAGCTATCTGTCTTTTAAAATATATAGGTAGATTATATCTATCCTTTGTCAAAAAGTAATTATTACAAATAATTTACCTATTGGTATCAATTAGCGTAAAGTTTTTATCATACAATGTAATGCATTGTCTGATTTCAAATATGTGTCACAGTATTTTTATGCTGAGTGAAGTTTTTACTATAAGGGAATGTAAACAATCAGATTTTTGGTATTAGGTGAGCACAATTTTTCATAGCTGTTAGTAAGATTTTTTTTTTTAAATTCCCTCTATTGCCTATAAATATAATTAGATTATCCGTTTTACTGGAAGAATCTCATACAATGTTCTTTATAATACGAGGTGTGTTCAAAAAATAACGAGAATTTTCGTTTTATGAAAAAAATATTTATTTATTCATTATTATTTTGTCCCCATCAAAATAATCCCTTTCGGATATAATACACTTGTGCCAACGCTTTTTCCAATCCTCGAAACACTTTTGAAACTCGATCTTTGTAATAGCTTTTAGCTCTTTCAGCGATTCGCGTTTAATGTCATCTATGCTTGTAAAACGACGGCCTTTTAATGTTCTCTTTATCTTTAGAAATAGAAAAAGTCACATGGAGCCATATCTGGCGAATATGGAGGCTGAGGCACCGTTACAGTTTTGTTTTTGGCTAAAAATTCACGAACAAGCAATGAAGTGTGAGCAGGTGCATTATCGTTGTGCAAAAGCCATGAATTGTTTTGCCACAAATACGGGCGTTTTTTTCGGATTGCTTCACGCAATCGGCGTTGAACTTGTAGCCACTTGCCACCCCTGGGACGATTGAGCCTTAGTTTCGACATCATATCCGTAAACCCATATTTCGTCACCAGTTATAACACGTTTTAGTAGTTCTGCATCGTTATTAACTTCATTTAGCGACTCCTGAGCAACTTTCATTCGCCACTGTTTTTGTTCGAAATTCAACAATTTTGGAACGAATTTTGCTGCCACACGTTTCGTACCCATAACATACGAAAAATTCATTTTTCGTTAAACTCCAAACTCATCGGTTGATCGATTGTTAATGTGCTTGGGCGTCCGGGTCGTTCGTCATCTTCAACGTTTCTCGTATATCTAAAAGTAGCATTTGGGTAACAGCTGTTCATAAGATTTTGTTCCTTATTTAAAAATTGGGTCATTTGATGGCCTATTACTACTATGGTACACAGTACATTACATTTAATTTTGGCTTTGAAATATCATTATTAGTCCTACATACTGGTGATGGCACCTGTACAGACTGGCTTGAGTTTTCAAACTCAAAGCATTGTGCTGCATGTGTGGAGATCTTGATAAGATCTTCCATAGCAGTCGAGTATTTAGAGACCATGCTTTGTGACTCCTGGAATTTTGATACCACGGAATCTGCTATAGTTTGAAGTTCCAAGATCTCCTTTTGCAATTGTTGGGTGTCAAATTCATATTTAATCCTACTATTTTCAAGTTCAATTAAGTGCATGTCAATATTAGTTTTAAGTTTTATGTTTTCCTTCATTATTTTTTTACTATCTAATACAATATTGTGCTTTCTTAGTAATTTTTGTGTTTTAGTTATAAATTTATTGATTTTAATGTACTTCTTTATTCTTTTAATACTACATCCATTAATATTTTCATATGCTGTAGAGGAATGAGATTTTGAAAGTGAACTATTGCAAACTAAGTCTTTCAAAAGGTATTGTGTTAAAGTCTCTGACTTTTGGTGTGAGGCTTCTTCAAGCTTTATATGTTGATTAGCCTCATACGTTTCCCTTTCAAGATTAATTATCCGTTTCAAGGCACTTTTATATTCTAAGCCATAGCCACCAAGCTTGTCCAATTGACTTTTCAGCAAAAAAAAATTCAAAATCATGTATTCATATACTTAGGTAACACAATGTACATTTATGAACGTCAAAAAATAAATATATGAAATGCTTCTAATTTTACATTTACTGCCAGTTCTCAAATCAAAGGAAGAGAAGAACTGGCAATAAACTCTCCGCCACTCTTTTTGATCGCAAAGTTTTTTGTTTTACACAATGTTTTTAAGGAGCTGCAACCATTACACCATGTTCCACATCACAACATAATAAAATAATTTTGGCTTTGAGCTTTTAACTGGCCTCTAGCATTTCCAACAGCTCTATAGGTTCGCACCATATAATAAAGTTTCTAGTAAATATTGAAATTAGCACAGAAGAAACAAAGTTATTAACGAAATGAGATGAAGCAAATAAGAAAAGAGAAAGCGTATGGTATGGTTTGTGGACTCAGTTTCCGACGTTTTACACGCTCAATAGGTCCGTTGTGCATAAAGTCCTGGCTAACTAAGCTAGCCTAACTCCTTCCAAAAGCACAAGCCTCTTGGGCACTTCGCAGGCTTCACGGAGCGACCTGTTTCGAGGATTTGTTAAGCTACAGTCTCACGTTCCAGGAGTACGTGGATGACTGATTCCTCTGCGCTGAAACAGTCTCATGCATTCTCCGTCGTTGCCACGGTCTTCGGCATCGATCTTGCCGCTGGTGCCTCACCTTCAGACTCAGACAATATTGTTGCATCATACAGAGTGACCCCCTTTGGCTCAACCGACGCAGTTAATCTGGTCGCAACGGTGGACGCTTCCCTGTGCGGTGATGCTGTAGGTTCAGTCGGAGAGAGTACGGTCCTGGGCGCAGCCTGGCTTGGCTCATCCCCAGTCGATTCCCTCTCCTTTGGAATCTTGGACGCTGCCCGAATAGGCGCATCCGTATATGAGCCAGGGGTAACTGAGTGTCGTGCCACTGGTGACATGCACCGCGACCCGTCCTGAGACGCAACCCTGGGTTTGTCAGTTGTCATCCTTAGATGTTGCCTTGTGTTGATTATGTTTGTTTTGAAGTTTAGCCTCTTTATCCATGAGGTAAAATGGGATTAATTCACCGTCAGAGCTCTCCACTCGCCACGGAGCCCTCAAGTCCGGGACGTTTCTCGCTCAGCAAGCAAACGCCAGAGCTACTCCTTCGGCAGACGCGCAGACGTAACCACTGAGAGAAAGGGAATAATTGAAAGTGCACTATGATTAAATGTATCAATAGTGCACTTTTGAGCAGTGATGTTTGAGAAGGTGTCTAATTTTTGTAAAATATTAGTATCATTTTTATCCATTTTTGTTTATGAAGAGACAGGTGTTGTCATAGGTTATTAGTTGTATATTTTGTATTTGTGTCTGTAAATTTTTGACACGTTTTAGGTCTCTGGCCAGAAAGTAAAGCCGTGTGCTTTTTGAGTTAAGCGCTCTGCGATAAAAACAGGTTCATCAGGGTTTTTTGATAATCCAAGGTTTTTCCCAGAGATCTTTTTGTTTTTGTACGCATAGTTATAAGTTTTTACGGTCTTAGAACGGCATCCCTGGTTGATTGTGAGTTAAATTCAACAGTTATAGTCTTCTTCTCAGTATTTGTAATCCTTCTTTTGTTTCCTTAGGATCTAGGGGGACGTTTTTTATCTCAAGACTCTTGTTACGAGATCCACGCATCCATTCCTCAATACTATCTTCCAGGATAACAATATGCTCGTCTCTTTTCTTCAATTCTAGTGCCAGTATCTCAACTTTTTTTTCAGATCATCGTTTTGCTGGGCAAGAAACTCTATTGAGGTTTCAATTTTTGCGTTAGTAGCTTGAATGCCCTGTAAGATTGGATACAATTTGTCCAATTGCTCGTTATTTTGGGTTGCCCATTCCTTAAATAGTTCTCTCATTTCTCCTTTGAATTCAGAAAGATCTTCACTTGCAGTGTTTGTCATTCTCTTCCTTTTTGTCCTGATAGACACATCAAAAGGTCTCCGGATTTTCTGCCGTAGATATGTCAAGTACCGAGTTGGCTTTTTATAACGGGCTCGTAGAATCCCTTACGTTTGTTCAAAGTTTACGTGTTCGTGTTCGAACATTAACAAAGGACTTGGAAACCCCAACTCTTATCAGCCAATGAACCCAAGCTACGTATGTCAATAGTTTGTTCTAGAGTATGTACCACAAAGAACGGTTCGGTGGCCGTCGATACACAATCCATACTACAGCAATATTGTCAGCCGTAAAGATTTGGAGTAAGGTTTAGTTTGGGAACAAAGAGAGGTTAGACTGATACTGTACCTTGCCTTACAAAAGTTCACAAACACTCAAAAAAACACTCCCTATAATATACTAAATTGAGGACTAACTTTAGACAAATATAATAAACAAAAAGTATATCACAATAAAAATGCATCTAACGTAACCCGAATAAATCTCAAGAACAACTAATTAAAAAAATGTGAGGATCGGCCGAGTAAAAATGGTTCTACGAGTATATTAAACAATAGAAAGTAGAGAGGTAAATGAGAATCAAATATAATACAAGGTAAGTAAGCTAAAATAATATATGGTATACCAGACAATAGAATTGGACATGTGTTTGGCGGTTGAGGGTCGTTTCTGCTATTTGATACAATAACCTTTCGGCTTCCTTTCAGCCGCCCTATCATTTATTTATTTACTTACAGCCCATGGATGTCCAAATTCACACTAAAAACAAGCCACGTTGCCAGTTAGCCAGTGCTCTGTTATGCACAAAAAGTCTATTTTTTGACTATTCAAGATTAGTTCAATTTCTAATTCTTTATTTTTCATCCCCTGTATTTTTTAACAATGTATATTTTGATGTACCACAATAATTTTTTGGGAATGACTTTTATCACATATACTTACTTTATTATTGCAAGAGTGGTGCTCTGTTGTCTTATTATCTTATTTAAATAAATATTATTTGGAATTTCTCCCAAAGTCTTATACTCTTATGTTTGCTCAATAGACGCAAGAGGGCCAAATTCTTGGCTGTCATCTCTATAAAATATGATAGCGAAACAGCTATCTGTCTTTTTAAGAAAGCAGGTAGGTAACAATATCTACCCTTTGTTATAAAAAACTTTTTACTATACCTATTGGTATCTATGACACAAAATTTATCACTATACTTTGCCAATGTATGCAATGTTTGATTAAATCAAATCAATCAATCAAATCAAAATACGTTTATTCAATTTAGATGCTTCTTAGAGCATGCTTATGAATGTCAACAACGTTTACAAAATTCACGAAAGAGCAAGACTACGCCATCCGTTCGCAAAACTACCAGGAGGCCTTGTTCTGAGAAGAACGGGCAAGAAACTCAGCAAATTTGCCCTCCCTTTGAGATTAAGAAGAGAGATTAAGAATATATCTTGTGTCATTTTATTCCTTAGGAATGCTTTGGCTATAGGAAAATGTAAACAATCAGATTTTTGGTGTTAAGTGAGCACAATTTTTCATAATAGTTAATAAGCTCTTTTTTTGTTTAAATTCCCTTTATTGCTTATAGTTATGGTTTGTGGACTCAGTTTCCACACTTAGACGCTCAATAGGTTCGTTGTACGTAAAGCCCTAGCTAACTAAGCCAGCCTAACTCCTTCCAAAAGCACAGAAGCTTCCTGGGCACTTCGTAGACTTCACGGAGCGACCTCACTGTTCCGAGGATTTCTGTACGTTGTTTAACCAGCATTCCAAAAGATGTTTATTAAGGAGACAAAGGCCCGTAATTGTCCCTGTCATTGTTTTGAGATTGGTTTTATTTAAGCTTAGAAGTCGCTTTGTCAGTTGCGGGTTCACTGCTGGCAGAGCCATTCTGTACTGTTGCAGTCCGCACTTCGCGACCATCGTTGATGCTGGAGTTCAGCGGATTTCTGGCGGATCCAGGTTCGCACTAGCGAGAATGGCAAGGGGAGGAGCGGATATGGGCCAGCAGACATCATTCCAGAGCCTCTTCTCACAAGCTCGTCGGCAGCATCATTGCCAAGAGAACCACTGTGTCCCTTTATCCACTGCAAGGTAACCCTGTTGGTTAGAGTTATGGCCTCCAGTGCTTCGTGACACTCTATTATTAGTTTTCTGTTTGTTTTTTTGTTTCCGAGCGCCGTCAGCACGGATGCACTGTCGGTTACGAACTTAATGCAAAAGTCATTCATTCCTAACCGCTGCACGGCTTTGGCTGCTTCGGTTAGAGCGATACATTCACATTGAAAAATCGTGATCTGTGTGCCTAAGTAGGTAGGTGTATGTTGATGTTGAGATCTAGAGAAAATATGCCAGCGCCTGAGCCACACCCTGTTTTTGATCCATCTGTGTACATACGTAGCTCATTCAGGGTCGACTGATCATGTTCCTCTTCTCTCAATTGTATGTGATATTTCCTGTTAAATATTAGTTGGTTAGTGATTCTATCACATGGCGCAGCTATAAGAGGTTGATACTCTATCGCCCTGTTGAGAATCATTGCACTATGCACACACAGCGATTCTCAACAGGGCGATAGATAGTGATTTTTTCCCCATAGATCCAGTACCATAAGCCTGATGGCAGCCAGGGCTGCCTCCTGCTGTATATGTAGGTCCAGAGGTACGATCTGCAGGGCTATCTCCATTGCTGCAGTTGGTGTTGTTCTCATGCAACCGTTAGCAGCGGACAAGGCAGGCCTCTGGAAGCGTCCAAGTTTCGTAATTGCCGTTTGAAGTTCTGATCTTGGCCACCAAACCAGGGCTCCATAGGCTAGCATTGGCCTGATTATGGCAGTATATAGCCATATCTTAGGCGATAAGCCCCATTTCACGCCTAGCATCTTATTGCATTGATAGAAGGAGGTCGTCGCTTTGTTTAGTTTGTGTTCTAGGTGTTTCTTCCAGAGCAGTTTATTTTCCAAAGCCACACCTAAGTATGTACTTGATTTCATTCTAAAGTTTGAGTTCAGTGTTGAAGAGTTTTGGAAGTCTGTACGGTCCAAGAAATCTTCGGTTTGTAAAGAGTATTAATTCTGTTTTTGATGGGTTGATAGATATATATATATATAGATAGATAGATAGCAATCACTTTGAAAGCCCTTCTCATGAGATCACATAAGGTGCTTTCAAAGCTCCCCGATATTAAAATAGCTATGTCGTCCGCATATCCTACTGTGAACAGATTGCCAGCATTGAGTTCCGTAATAAGCTATTTAACTACCACTTTCCACAGTAGCGCGGATAGGACATCTCCTTGTGGACAACCTCTGCTTGTTGTTTTACATTGTTGTTTATCCATTCTATAACAGTTGATGGTACTCCACATGTTCCTAGTGCTCTGGTTATACTCGTGAAATTTGTTTTATCAAAAGCGCCTTCGATGTCATTAAATACACCAAGGGTTGACACGACGTTGTGGAGCTATGAATCCGTTGATTTGCCTGAGCTGTAGGCATGTTGATTAGGATGTAGGAATTTGGATAGCGATACCCCTCTACGTATCTCCAGGTCTCCCAAGTCCCAGCCTCTCCATCGCTAGCTGTTCAATAATGTTATTATATATCTATATAACACCGGCATTGGCTGTCGAGCGACCCTTGGTAAAACCGAACTGATTATTATGTAATAATTTATTTACGTTAAAATGACTTACCAGTTGATTTAATATAGTTTTTTCAAATATTTTACTACAAGTAGGTAGTACGGAAATTGGTTTAAAGTTACTGGGGTCGGGTAGTATGTACCTGCTTTAAATAATGGAATAACTTTACTATGTTTCATTAGATCGAGAAACTCGGCATTTTCAATACAATTGTTGAAAATTATAGCTATATGGGGAGCAATTACATCAATCATGCTACTAATTGTTTTTACAGAAATACCCCAAAGATCGGTAGTGTTCTTAATGTCTATGGTTCTAAATATCCTAACTATATCGTCGGCACCAATGGGCCAGAATGTAAAACTGACCTTGCACTCGTTTACATTATCTTTGAGCAGCGATTCGGAGAAGA